CTGGGGAATTTGTCTATCCTTGTGGCTGTTATTTCTTCCACTCGCCTTCATACACCCATGTATTTCTTCCTGGGGAACTTGTCTGTGTTTGACATGGGTTTCTCCTCAGTGACTTGTCCCAAAATGCTGCTCTACCTTGTGGGACTGAGCCGACTCATCTCCTACCAAGACTGTGTTTCCCAGCTCTTCTTCTTCCATTTCCTTGGGAGCATTGAGTGCTTCTTGTACACCGTGATGGCATACGACCGTTTCACGGCCATCTGTTACCCTTTGCGGTACACAATCATCATGAACTCTAGAATCTGTGGGGCCCTGGCTGCAGGCACCTGGCTGTTAGGATGCATCCATTCCAGTGTCTTGACTTTCCTCACATTCACCTTGCCGTACTGTGGCCCCAACGAAGTGGATCACTTCTTCTGTGATATCCCAGCACTCTTGCCCTTGGCCTGTGCTGACACATCCTTAGTCCAGAGGGTGAGCTTCACCAATGTGGGCCTGGTGTCTCTTGTCTGCTTTCTCCTAATCCTTGTATCCTACACTCGAATCACGGTCTCCATCTTGAGTATCCGTACAACTGAGGGCCGTCACCGTGCCTTCTCCACCTGCAGTGCCCACCTCATTGCCATCCTCTGTGCCTATGGGCCCATCATCACTGTCTACCTGCAGCCCACACCCAACCCCATGCTTGGAACCGTGATCCAAATTCTGATGAATCTGGTTGGACCAATGTTGAACCCTTTGATCTATACCTTGAGGAATAAGGAAGTAAAAGCAGCCCTGAAAAAAATATTGCACAGGACGGGCCATGTTCCTGAGAGTTAGTAAGAGTGGATGGATAGGTATGTGGCCCTGGAATTCCTTCCAATGTGATGTGAAATTTCACTCTGGAATCTTCACATGTGATGATAACGTGGAATTTTCAGCACCTGCTAAATGGTATGGACCACTATATCATAGTACATTGTCTTTTTGTGTGTTTTGTTTTCTTGTATTATCTAAGCTCTACCTCTCCACTCACCTTCAAAATAACATAGTCTTAGTTGTCATTATTTTGCCTTTCTTCTGTGGTGAAATTCCTGCTACTGAATGGAAGGTCCTTTCCATCACACCATTTTGCCCACTTTTGTCAGTCTACTATGTGTGAGAAAAGACTAAGGGAAAAGGCAATAAATGCAAGAAAAGGGATTTTAAATAACTGATTGAGAGAGCAATAGAATTATCTTTTTTTTGGTATTAACAGACTAAATCAAGAGTCAAGATGCAGTGTTTTCTTTCACCTCGTCAACTGTCTGGAAAGGAAATAAGAGTTTGTCAGCAAGAATGTTCTTCCCTGTATCCCATGCTTACCCTTGAGCCTAAATTCTCTGCCTGAAAATCCTTAGGCAAATAGAGTTATCCCACAGCCTAAGGAAAGTGAAAATCATTGTGATCTCTCTCCTAGACTTGGGTCTGCTTCCATTCTAGTGTGGAAATAGTGTGACTATTAGTGTGATAAAAACTGAGTGGTTCTATCAGATTATTGGAACAGGCCAATGGCTTTCCAAGCTTGATTCAAAGTGACACAGGGTTCCAGAAAATTTATTCCAACAGTTCCATGTTAAGTATAGTTAGTGAGAACCTCCTATTTATCTATCTTATATATTAGATTTTTGGGTAAGATTCCACTGGAAAAAGTTTGAAAGCCTCTCGACTATGTGATCGCCACAGTACCTTGTAAGAGTAAAAACCTTGATGTATGGTGTTTTTTCTACCCTTAATTTTAAGGATGTTATTGCCTTTTCTTAACTACCAAAACCTCTACCTTAGTTCTCCAGCATTCACTTGGGCTTGCTAGACTTATTAAAGCTTCAAAGTTCATTCTATTATCTGACAAACAATTTTGCTCATCCAATAAAAACCATTGTAAAGGAAATATTTATGATTATACTTGGCCTCATGTGACCTCCTTATTTTCTGATAGGCGTCAAAGTTACCTGCTTTGGTTCAGAAGTGACTGCAGAGAAGCTTTGTGGAGCTACTGGTAGGACCAGTGAAATGCCATAGGAGGCAGAGATACTTTGGATTTTCCTGGATCCATTGTATTAACTCCCTACAGTACACATAATTTTACCCCTTTACACTTCTGCCCAAAATACTAAGCTCTGTGCTATTAAAATTCCAACTAGGAAGTCTCCTGATTTACTGTGATATAACACAAATAAAGAGATGACCACAAGTGGACAATGATCCTTTTTGTACTTTATTGGTGCCTTAAAACATTGATTATCTGTTTAGATATTACATCCAGGAATTGAATTATGTTGAGTCTATCCATAAGTTTGAGAGACTTAATATCTTCACAATATTGAGTCATGAATTATGTATATGGTAAATTCTTCTTATGAAAGGTTTCTCTAATTTCTCTCAGGATTATTTAAAAGTTTCCATGTATAAACATTGCATGTATTTTGTT